GATCGATCCTCTATTTGAGATCGGGCAAAGGAATAGCCATCTCAAAGGCAGAATGTCGGTGAATGAATGTGTTTGTGTGTGAATAGGTGCGTGAGAGATAAAAGGAGAATATGGACGATGGTGATTGAGGTCGATCTAGGGAAGATGGGTGAATCAATGAAGAAGACGATGTGAGTGAATAAAAGAGAGAGAGAGAGAGAGAGAGAGAGAGAGAGAGAGACGCAAATGAGATATTTAATCTAGGGAATTAAAAGAGATATTTGATTCCTAGAATGTCCCTGATTCATTTTAAAAACATACCCTCTTGTCTTATTTTGTCTATGTATTTACAAAAATGTCACAATGCATCTTGGCCATCCTTTTTTTTGATCCAACGCTCCACTTTTAGTTCTCAAGTTCTCGGGAAACTATGAGTTCTTAAATGATCCTTCCTCTCTCTCTCTCTCTCTATATATTATATATTATATATATATATATATATATATATATATATATATATATATATATAATCGAGAGAGAGAGAGGAGAGAGTTAGGTTCATTTGTTTAAACTAAGTATTGTGTTATCGTATGCATAAATGTGGGCCAATCAAAATTTAAAATAAAAATAAATAATTAAATAAATAAATAAGGGTAAATAGGTAATTTGATAATTACTTTCCACAGATAATATACTATAATTAAGGTAACAATTGACTTAGTTTTCTCCACCCATCGTCTTTTAAAACCGTAACCCTAATCAACCCTTTTTGACAACGACCCCATGGACACTCTCTGTAATGCTCTTACTTGAAGTGCTAGAACAAGCGGCAAGGACAGAAACCTTAGCAACTGAATCGATGCACACGTCGTCTTCGTTGTCACTCATGCTGTCTTCAATTGTTCTTCTCTGGCTGTGAGATGTGAGGAATGTGGGTCAGGTGACTATGGATCGGAGCTCCTATTGTGCGACCAGTGTGACCGAGGGTTTCACTTATTCTGCCTCAGACCTATTCTTGCTTCTGTTCCGATCGGCTCCTGGTTCTGGCGTTCTTGTTCCACCAATCGAAGACCATTTCAAGTATGTCTTTTTTCTTTTTCAATTTAAGTTGACCTGCATTTTGTCGCATTGCATGTTATGGTTTAGGTTTAAGATTTTTCGGATTTACAGCTAAAGGGGTTTTTCTGTTGTAAAGTAATGAACTAATTCATAGATGCTGATTCATCCAATGCTCAATTTTATACTGGTAGCTTGAAATGCGAAGATCCCCAATTAAACCCTAGATCTAAGGACTTTGCCCCAGCTGTCTGATTCAAATACTTTACAGTAATAAATGTAATTACATCCCGTGGAATTCTTCTCATACACCGAGGCAATTGATTCGCTTGATTATGTGAATGATAATCCAGGTAGCCGATAGGGTATAATCTCATGGTAAATTCTTGACTAGGAACAACCCCTAATTTCTAGGATACAAGCCTTTGAATTATATGCATTGTTGTCTGTGTACATCATGTTTAGTTCAGTAGTGATTGGTTCACCTTTAACAATGTCATTTCTTGTTCTGTACCCAGGATTCCCGTTGGTTCAAACAAAAATCATTGATTTTTTCCGCATCCAAAGGTCCTCTACATCAGGTGAATAATTTTGTCAAGGTAGATAAGAGAGATCATTTATTCTTGATTAGAGAAAAAGATTGGTAAGATTTGTTTTGTTATATGATTGTAGATATAGGCAAGAAAAGGAGGCGAAAAAGTTGCTTAATTGCATCAAAGAAGAAAAGGAGACTGTTACCATATAGTCCAAGTGAATATGTTTTATTGCTTGATTAGAGAAAAAGATTGGTAAGATTTGTTTTGTTATATGATTGTAGATATAGGCAAGATAAATGTATCAAAGACTGGACAATAATCACTGAATATGTTGGAGATGTTGATTACTTACAGAGCCGGGAAAATGATGATGAAATCACGAATTCCAATTCTGTTGGAATGAAATGACGAATTCCAATTCTGTTGGAACCACAGAAGTTGATGCTTGAAGAACGGACCACAAAATTGAAACGGACCACATTATTCTTTTAGAATGTATTAGTCGTTGTTAGATTTTGATGTATTCTTTCCGGTTTTGATTGCTTTTTAGTTTTATTCTTTAACAATAAATGTAATTATTAACAATTTTTACCCGTATTCTATAAAAAATAATGTATTTTTTGTTTTTATTCTTCTAGTGATTGTTCAAAAATTTGTTATTCTACAAGAAGTTTTTAAATTCATGATCAAGAAATAGGTTCAAGAATATTTTTATTATTTATGGTTCAAGAATATTTTTAATTTTGAATATACTCATAAACATATTCTGTCAGAATATCCGAATTAAAATAATTATAATTCTATAGAATCTATGATCCCTTAAAAAATACAATTTTCCTTTATTAAGTCTATATTAATTGACTGAATTACCCTTATAATTAATTAAGATGATATTTTTCAATTATATTGAATTCAATAATATATATTAATCACTTTTTTAAAATATGTAAATTTGATTGGCTCACATTTATGCATACAATAACACAATAGATACTCTAAACAAAATAACCTAAGCCTATATATATATATATATATATATATATATATAGATATATATATATATATATATATATATATATATATATATATATATATATATATATAGGTTTAGGTTCTATAAAAAACAAAAAACCCTAAAAATCATAAAAATGCATAAAAAAATACTTAGAGATCACAAAACTTTTTTTTTTAATTATTTTATAAATAATCGCAGCTTTTTCTTAAAATTCGCTAAAAAATAAAAATCAATTTTTTTTATAAAAAAAAAATTTAAAAATTTTATTCACCGAATTTGTATAGAAAGCTGCGATTTTTTCAAAAAAAAGTTTTATGATCTCTAAGTATTTTTTGTATGCATTTTTATGATTTTAGAGTTTTTTTGTTTTCCAAATAACTCTTCCCTATATATATATATATATATATATATATATATATATATATATATATATATATATATATATATATATATATATATATATATATATATATGATTCTTTCAAAACAATAATTATTAAATTATTTTTGAAGTTAAATAATAACCTACCACTATGGGTCCTCTTTTATTTTCCCAAATCACTTCCCCACCGATATCACCACCGTTGTCACCACCACCATCACTCACGACCATCTACTGCGAATTAATAGTTGACTCCTTGCAAATACTACTTAATTTCACTTTAAGCTTTAGAGTAAAGCCTAAATAATAGCCGGACAATGCAAATTCCATAAGGAGACAAGACAAGACAAGTTCATGGTCGAGCTAAAATTATTTTTATTATATTTAAATATTTCACCTTCAAAAATAATATATAATATAAACTAATAATATTATTTTGGCATTTATTTGACTTATTTAGGGGCGTTTGGGATTTTGCTTATTTTATTTCAAATTATACTTAACCTATATGTTATAAAACCAGGTTTTAAAAAAAAAGTTTGAATTAGTTTATGCAACATAAAAACTTTTAAGTTTGATTTAATGTTTGTCGATAATTGACTAACAGTTTATATTTGTAAAATGACAAAATAGAGATAAAAAAAGCAAATTGGTACCTAACCAAGGATACGATCTATATCTTTTTTGAAGTTAGGATAATAATAAAAGGGTACATTGGTTTTCACATATAACAATCACTTTAGAAAAAGTTCAAAAGAAACAATTTAGGAAAAACTATATCTAAACACTTAAAAATGTTTATTAGTAGTACCAAATCAAAATAAATTAATAATAAGCAATCCCAAACACTAGTTTCTTTTTCTTTGAGATTATTTAAAGCTAAACAATAAAGAAGACTGAATAATTGAATCTCTTTATGATAAAGTGTTTTAAGCATGTACCACAATGACAAGTAATCACGCATTTATATTTTGTACATTAAACAAATTCTTTCATTGGCATTGAAACAATGGAATGTATCCAATATTCGGGTTCAAAAACGCGTTTCTTCCACCAATTAATTTGTGAAATACAACAGATAATTTCAAGAAACCACAAAAAAGTTCTTTTAAAAAAAATCTCTTTAAAATCCATCGAACAATTTAAATTATATGAAATGCTAATTAATCTCTGCCTTGCATCGGAATCATCATATGCTGACTCTGCATCTGTCATAACTCATAACCCATGAAATCAGCTTTTGATAAACACAAAAAATAGCAATTTACTTTCATTTATAAGTTTATCATAATATCATTCTTTCATTTTTTCCTATTACAAAATTGAGAAAAAAAAAAAAAAACCCAATTATAGCAATGTGATGCTATAATTGAGTAGACTTTTCAAAGTACATTATTATAATTTATAATTGGGTAGATTTTTCAAAGTACAATGTCTTATAAAGAATAAATTAATAGAAAGAAATGAAAGTAGGATGCTATAAAGAATACCTGTGAGTTTCCATAATCTAGATCATCCAAATACGGACTTTGATGAGCAAGCTGTAGATTTTTATAGATGGTGAAAAAAAAATGTCAATTTGCATTGTATTTTATAAAAACAAGCCAAATATATAAAACAAGATTTCAGTTAAAAGAAAACAGGTTGAACAGTTTAAAAGTTGCCTGAAGAGTAAAGAATACTCAAGTGTTCACAACATTCCAAATTGTTTTACTAAAAAAATTCTGTTTATTTTATAAAAACTTTTTGTAAAAAAATGAAAAGAAAAGAAACCTGTGCATTATGATCATGATCAGGTTGCACCCCATCTCTCCCTTTTGAAGATCCCTTGGTGTCACCCTAAAAATGGAACTTGTTAACAATTATTCATAAAAAATTTAAACAGTAATAAGTTTGTGTAATTAAGATCAAGATAAATAAAAAAGCTTCACTAACCTCCATCTGTCACAACTCACAACAATCCGTTCAAGAGCATAAAGAAACAGAAACACAAATTCATCAGTGACTAATGAAACTGAATCCACAAAAATATGTTACACAGAAGCTAAAAATACCTCTTTGTATCTAATCAAGTATAGCTTAAGAGGCTCGATATAATCTTCAAACCCTAGAGTAGCCATTGCCCAAAGAAGATCATCACCATTGATGGTTTTCCTCTTCTCCTTTTGACACTTATCACTCGCCCTACACAGATTAAAATCGATTTCAACAATCCGGAAATCCTAATCAGAAGAAATTTTTAGATGTGTATATAAACGTACTCGCTTGTGATAAAGCTGATGAACTCAGAAACAGCTTCCTGAACAATCTCCTTCGCATCCTTAGCCATTTTCGCATTAGCCGGTAACGCCTTCTTCATGATTCGACTGATATTCGCAATCGGTAAGAACCTGTCCTGTTCCCGGACATTTGATGACCTCGGGCTTAATTCGCCGCTCTCATGACTCCCGCCGCCTGGACTCACCGGAACATCCGCCATCTGGAAAGCAAAACCCTAGAGTAGAAAACCACAAAATCCACAACAAACCGAGGATAAGGAACAAACTTTCGAGCAAACCCATCAACAAAAGACCATCAAAAAACCCTTTAAAGAGATTAATTAAGATAAAGATAGAAACGATGCGAGTGTAGGTTAGATATACGTATATAGGATGAATGTATGCATCTGTTGTATACAAATGGAGGTATTGCTGTCTTACAATCTTACCAGTTGATGGAGAGAGAAAAATTCGTAAAGTTGGAGAAAGATTTGGGCGCGAGTCGCTGGATGAAGATGGAGAGATCGATCGGACGCTGGAGAAAAGAGATGAAAGGAGACGATTGAGATGCGAAGCTCTCTTTTATCAACGCCGTTCGTTTTCTTCTTTCGGTTCCTTACTATTTGGGTAAAATTTCTTCTATGAAAAATTGTGTTATATTCTAAACCTTTTTGTTAAAATTTGGATAATTTCATAAAATTATAAAATAATACATTACTAATAAAATAATATATATTTATTTTATACTGTGTTTATTTTATCTTTTAGCCTTTAAATATTTTTAAAACACTAATAAACTTGTATTTTTTTCATATACTAGTGTTTGTAGAATGACATTTTCTATCATTGTTATATCTCTTTTCATATTGTTATGGAAAACAGTTGATACTTGTCAAAACTTATAACAAATCTGATGTCGCTTTCTAAATTCTGATGACCTTGTTAGGAAGTAATGTGGATAACACACGAAACCAAAAGCACACATGACACAACATTTACGTGGTTCGGTCAATGTGACCTACATCCACGAACAAAATGGGAGTATTATTTATTAACAAAGTTCTCAAACATATTTTACAAGTTAACTCAACAGAGATTCGTCCTACTCACTAAGGATAAAAAAAGACACTTTAAATGACTTAGCCTTCATCATATTTATACTTGAGGGATTAAACCTAAAACCCTAATGGGTCAAGCCTATTTGCCCATAGGCCCATGAATGGTGTCAACCAATCACAATTTGTCATGCAGTAGCTTCTGGAACATTCATCCATGACATACAACACATGAGTATCAGCAACGCACATGATGAAGCACTATGAGCCATAGTGGAGCATCATGGTGCACAATTGGCGCATCATGAACACTAGCGCCCGACATCCATCATGGTGGCACAACATGGTGTATTCCTTGAGCATCAGAGAGGAATTCATAGCACGTGTGACTAATCATGTAACGTCCCAAAAATTAAGACCAAAAAATTTGATTTTTATATTAATAAAACCATTATCCAAAACAATATCATAAAACCATAGTGAACTTAGAGTATGTCAATAAACATCCAAATATATCAGAGTTATATAAAATGCGAAACAATGTGGTGTTTGCAATGCAGTCATCCCCGAGCTCTTCCTTTTTTGAAATCGAGGTACCTGAAACATAAACTGAAAACCGTAAGCACAAAACTTAGTGAGTTCCCCAAGATACCACATACCATACGTATAAAACATATAATGGGCCCCGCCCGTCATACCACCCCGCTCGGTAAACAGATATGCTAGTCAACAGGCCCCACCTGGCATCGGGCCCCGCCTGGTATACATATAAACATATAAACATATAATCATACAAACAAATGCAATAATCACAAAGATAAATAGCATACATAATAGTCATTGGGGCCCGCCTGGTAAACATATAAACACATAACATATGCTAGAGTCACGCATACATCTAGCATTCTAAACATAACAAACCATGGGCCGGCATTGGTGCATTCGAACCACTAAACACAGTGAGGAAACTCACCTCTAGCTGATGAAACACTCAAATGAATCTCGGTTTGCTGGTCCGGAAAATCACCGCGCTAACATCATCAAATAATATCCAATTAATAATTGGATCTCGACCTATAATCAAGAATCTAAGCTACTTGACCCATATCCATGGCAAAAGGCCATTTTACCCCTTTTTCTTACTTGGCCCAAAACCAAGGCCCAACCCATTGCTCAAAAGGGCAAAACTCATTAATTGGCATCTCAAAGCCCAATAAGGCCCAACTTCCAAATTGTGCCCAAACCCATCATGGACCTAATCCCAAGAAAGTCCATAGTCTATACATGGCCCAAAGTCAGAAGTCCAATGGCCCAACAAAGCCCAAACCCTAAAAGCCCAAAATATGGCCCTAACCCGTAAAGGTAAAACCCAAAAGTCAATATGTTGAGTACGCGGGGCGTACTCAGCTCGTACGCTTAGCGTACTCTGTAACGACCATAAAACTCAAACCAATTTAAAACATTTTATTTCATTTCAAAACCATTAAGTTCATACATCTTGTTTTCAAAATAGTTTAAACATCAGAGTATCCCCAGAACCATATCACATAAGTCATAAAACATGAGGAGTGGTACGATCACGCCTTCACCTTGCCACGATCTCCTGAAGTACCTAAAACAATAAACTGCAACTGTAAGCCCGAAAGCTTAGTGAATTCCCCCAAAGTACCCATACACACATAATCATACATACAGCAAAGAACAACATGCTATGGGTCCAATCAACCTTCCGGTTGGAATACCCCTGGCCCTCAACCTTCGGGTTTGAATGCCAACATACTACGAGCCCAATCATCCTACCGGGATGGAATACTCTCGGCCCACAACCATCAGGTTGGAATGCCCATACACCTATACATACTACTACAACTACTATGGGTCCAATCATCTCGCAAGATGGAATACCCCAGGCCCCTCAACCATCGGGTTGGAATGCCAATCTACTATGAGTCCAATCATCCTACCTGGATGGAATACTCCTGGCCCACAACCATCGGGTTGGAATGCCCCACCTCCTATCATACAATAACAACTACCATGGGTCCAATCATCCCTCAGGATGGAATACCCCAGGCCCCTCAACCATCGGGTTGGAATGCCAACCTAATATGAGTCCAATCATCCTATCTGGATGGAATACTCCTGGCCCACAACCATCGGGTTGGAATGCCCCTATACTAGCAACATGTATACATAACAGGCAACCACATAACATTCTACAGAATCAACATACTAGGGCCCTATCATCCTACCGGGATGGAATACCCTCTGCTACGGCTCAACATGCATATACCACGGGTAACCTCCTACCAGCGTACATAAGGTAAGACCAACTACATATCTATACTCGTAACCACTACCCAACTACCAGGGTGCTGATCCAACAGAACTAGCCATCACTTAACTATCCTATCCTCTAGGATACTAAGCTAACAAAGCATATCCTCATATCATTATCCTATCTACCAGGATACTAGCAAGCATATCATCACAAAACATAACAAGCTCTAAACAACAATTCAAAGGGCCGGCCTTGGTGCCTTAGACCCTTGAGTACAGTGAGGATAACTCACCTGAAACGAAGAACCGAACCACGAAAGTACACACCCGAAGCACTGCTCCAAACTCCAACACCTATTGCCATCAATGGACCATTGACATAAATAACCAATTTACCATAATACCCTCGGGTTCAAAGTCAAAGTCCTGGCCAAAGTCATCCTTCCTGACTCTACTCGCCGAGTCAACCCGTTGACTCGTCGAGTCCTTATACTCTGAAAACTCTTAGAACACGACTCAACTCGCCGAGTCACCCCAAGACTCGTCGATTCCAACGATCTCCGAGTCCCATCCTACTCAACTCACAAAGTCACCTCCCGCCTCACTGCTTCGAGGTTTAACCAGAAGAGATTGGGGTTCTGCGACCAGACTCGCCGAGTCCAAGGCAATCTTCAACAGACTCGCCGCGTTGTTCTTCCAACTCGCCGAGTCCATGCTCATGTTCATACAACTCGCCGAGTACACCCATGTGACTCACCGAGTCTCTCCAGTTCTCAATCCATACAGTGGCTTTTCGAGCCATGCAGGGGCTCCAATCCATAGATCCACTCTTCTACAGTCTAACCCTCACGTAAAGTGGCAAACTTTACGTGAAACCAAGGAGCTATAGGCCCAAAACACTCTAGGGCTAGGGTTTATGACAAAGGGGCATCACCAACAACTCATTGACATAAGCTTTATGACATTCTGGACCATTACAAGCCTAGATCTGAGGTAGCAACCTCAGATCTAAACTCCAACCTCGAAATAACTCTCAATCATACCAAAAATGCCCTAAATCTCATTCATAAGATAGATCTAATTGCAATAGAGCCAAAACAGCAGCTTGTTACCTCAAGGACGACCTCCCACTGAAGAATAATCCAAATCTCTGCAAATCCCCTTGATCCAAGCTTCTTGATCTTCAAGATCTCTTCACCAAAACTACTTATCTAGGCTCCAATTTGCTTCCAAGGGCTCTCACTCACGATTTAGGGTTTCCGGATCTCAAAAGGGTAGTAAAGAGGCTGAAGGAGGGATATAATGTTCTTTATATAGGGCACAACCCCCGGGATTAGGGTTTTTCTCTCTTCAGCACCAACTCGTCGAGTCCTAGCCACCGACTCGGCGAGTTGGCCACTTAAACCGCGACAGAATCCCGCTCCGACTCGGCGAGTAAGCGGGCCTACTCGTCGAGTCCCTTTCCTTGATTTACACTTTAAGCCCTTCAATAATACTTTTGGAATTTGGGATGTTACAACTCTCCCCCACTTAAATTAGGCTTCGTCCTCGAAGCCTACTGCAGTATACGCCTCATAACAAACCCCTTGCACTGCAGACTCCGATATCTCAATTAACTCAGGTTCTTGCAAACCCTACTACTGCATCTCTCTTACAATGACTTCTTCTCGCGTGGCATCCTTGCCACTACTCCAAGCCGACTATCGGACTTTCAACTTAATAGCACCATATATCAACTACGTATCACCCGATGATACTATCCCTTCATATCAGGGACACACTTCCGCGCCTTGCGAACACTAGATACCACAATCACCCACTGAGCTCTGCTGAGACACTAATCCATCTTCCTTCGCCCAAAATTGGTGATAACCCGGATAACTTGCAACCTGGAACGAATCCTGTTCCCCCTATGAATCTATCCCTTACGCGCTGATAGGATATTGCATCCTTCAGCTCCCATAATCAACTAACTATAACGCGTAACCACTCGTACCTGGCCCAATCAGCCTCAGGCTGGAATACCAGGCACGCCTATAACGGGTCCAGACATCCCTGGGATGGTATACCCTCGCATCCTCATGTATGTTTGGCCCAATCAACCCTCGGGTTGGAATACCAAACACACCAGGTCCAATCAATCATAGGGTCCGGTCATCCTCATGATGGAATACCCTAGATTGGAATACCTCCACATACATAACTCAAACCTACAACCATACTCGGAACCAAGGACCTTGTCCTTGCGTCACCCTCGAACCCCTCGATTCGACACATCTGAGTGTAACCCACTCACATCTCCTTATCGCAATCTCTAGGTCCTCGACCTTCGACTGGAATATCCTCACACAGTCCTCAGCACCGGTCCAGACTTCTCCCGAGTCTGTTAACCTGCTATCTCACCTTCCTCTGACCAAATCTCCAATCTGGAACTACTATCCTCCTCCTCTTCCAAGGAGACTGAAAACATGCCTACGCATCATCCAACATTGCCACAACGACAGAACCTCACTATACATCACCCCTTAGCGGCGCACACCTCTAACTCATAACATGCATACGTACTCAGAAACTGATCGCATAACCAGCAATCCAAACTTAGCCTGCCGCATTTCCTCAACATTTCCACCATTCGGGGATAACCCCACTAGCCGCTATCACGTAGCAGCATCCTCACTACTTGCTCAAAGATCCACGATACATGCAAAGTCCTTACTATAACTGAACCGCCTCGATGCACCACTCCAAAACCAACATTCAAACTGCGTCAGGCAACCTTCTACAACCAGTGGCTCACCCGAGAATTTCCAATTCTCCCCCACTTAGAGCACTAGCTACTATTCACAGGTGGCGAAGCTGGCATGCTGCTCAAACGAACCTAACTAATACACCGATCTTCAAGGAACCTGAGTTCCTGCTGAGAGCTTCAAATTTCCCGAATCATGACCTTCCTTTCTCACGAATTCATCATCAGATACTATCCCTCTAAAAACCCTCAATACCAACTCTTCACTAACACATGCAACACTTAATATCTCATGCAAGAAACAACATCTCATAATCATAACATAAACAAGATAAGGTAGGAAAAACATACCGGCTGACACCTCTGGCGCTGACCTGATCTCCTCGGTCACAAGATGATAAGCACGCCCTGGAGCCTTCGGAGGCTCTGCTCCACCCTGACTCCCGTCAGTAAGTCTCAAAGTAGCTGGCGCTGGGGCCTGCACTGACCTGGCAGCCAGCAGAGGACACTGGGCCTTCATATGGCCCACCTGATCACAATGATAACAAAGTCGGACTCCTGCAGCTGGAGCCGACTGACTGCAATCCCTGGCTATGTGGCCCTCCTTGCCACACTTGTGGCACCCCGAAGAAGAACGACAACTTCCCTCGTGCACCTTGCCGCACTTTCCGCAAGTGCGACTCCTCTGACCTCCCTGACGATAATCAGCGGCCCTCAACCGCTTTGGTGCAGGCTGCGACTGCATCGGGGCCTGCCTCTGATCTCTCAACTGGAGCTCAATCTCTAACTCGCGCCGCCTAGCGGCCTCCTGCAACTCCAACAAGGTACTACACCTCTGCGTGGATACGAACTGCCTGATGTTCGTCTTGAGCATGCTCATATATCGGGTCATCTGAGCCTGTTCGGAC